CCACGAGGGCTTCCGCGTGTAAAATCCAATTGCGTCGGACCCTCGACAAAAAAAAAACGCTAACAAATATTACAAGAAAAACAATCACGAACTTTAAATTCATGTGACGAACATCAAGATATTATTCTTAAGGACACTCGTCAACATATTAAATAATATTATTAATCTTTATATAGTCTCCAAGTACTTTGACCTTTGTTCAAAGTTTGTATTTCTATTTACAAGGCTTCATTTCTTCCGACCCAATAAATGGTAACATCGACGTTCATTGGTTTACACTGTGCGACCGTTAGTCAGTACGTTATTTAATGTCCTTGTATGCGTCCTACATATTTTGTTGAAACCATTATTTTGCACCTCGTCTTTTTTACGTCAAACCACTTCGCCGAGGGAAAGTAAGCTATGTTCACTTGCATTATAACCCGATATTAAATATGAATAAAGTTGAGAATTATTGACGCCCTAGTATTCTGCAGCGGCGTAATGGTGCTTCTGTGGTGCTCAAATTCCCTTAAATACTTAAGAATTGTGTTCAGTGATACCTTGCAGGTGGGAGGAGTTTGAATCTGAATTATTCTATTGGATCAAGTCAGCCTTCAATTACTGATCTGAAATTTTCCCTACAATTATTCACGCTGTTCCTCAATAAATACCACTGAACCTTCTAATTAATCAATACTAATTATTATTAGTAACAGAATTAATATTATTAATTATTCTGCAGCGATGGTCGATGACCGTGACCATATGATTTGAGCTCTACACAAGAGGTTTTTTTTGTATCTCATTTCATTTCTTATTGCTTGTTCAAAAATTTGAACTCCTTAATTATTATGCAAAACTACAAAATTACTCCCTTTCAGAGTAGCAAATTGGAGTACATGACAAAAATAAAACCATCTTGCAAATATATAAACTACATGTGAAGATTTTAGGATAACTAGAAAACATTCAAAGAAACGAAGTTTACAAAACTTTTTTTACAAAGTAAATGCTCAAGTTTCCATAGCAACATAACAAAAAATTAATAACTCCGTCGCCTAAGTCATCTAACAAGAGCCATCAAATCCTAACGCTAAACAAATTCCATCATACAAGTTCATTAGTTAATGAATTGAAATAATGCTCTGGAAGTCGGTATCAAAAATCTACAGGAGACGAGGCTTTCTCAAGAAAATATTCGTCTTCAATATAGGAAAGTAAGTTTTATGTAATCTGAATGAATAGCTATTCTTCACACGGCACCTAATTTGCTGGCACGAAAACTTTGTACACTAAGTGTCCTCGTAAATAGCAATAATTTTCTCTGAAGGGAAGTCTAAGGTTGACTCTACACGTATAAAAAACCGAGAAATTCATATAAAATACTCGAGTTTCCTTGGTGTAATATATATGTGAACTATCATTGACGTGCAGGAGATAGAACAGAATGAATAATTTAATTAATTAAATGTTAATTAATAATTAACATTTTAGGAGCGTCAAGACATAGAATATCGTCGAGTTTGGTCCTCCTAATTACAGTATTGAGTGATAAATGTAACCTTAATAAGTTAAAAGCAAGAACAATAAGCGAATATGAGTGCATAAAATCATGAATATGAATCACGTAAACTTGGTCAAACAATAAAAAACTGCAAAATTGGTGATATAAAGCAAGATCATAAAGAAAATTGTCACGTTTTATCAATTTTATTGCTTCTTTTAAGATTGACCCATATGAGAAGAATGTATGAATGTTTCAGTTCCAGTAAGAAGCACACTAGACGCACAACAATTAACAGCTTCACTTTGAGCTTTGACATCTGCCAAACCTATATTGGTTTTCAGTGAAACTATACGAGCTTGATATACAATATAATTAGAGGATTCTAGAATAATGTTCACCTAAGTTCCATGATATAATGTATTATATAACTAATATAATGCATTATTGTAAGGATCAAGCCATTTCTAGTTAACCGTAGGGTAATATTCACATTCGGACTCACAAGCTGAGTAAATTAGCCGGCCATCAGCCACTCTTACTCAGGCAGGCAGCGCCATAGGTTAGTAATTTGATGGGTGCTCTTGATGGGAAATCTTCACTTGTCTTACTTGTGATAATTGTTTTCTATGTAACCTTTGAAACATTTAAGGGGCCACGCTGTGTCTATTCCTATTCCGGTTGGGAAGACTATCTGGTACACCAGTGACCGGAGTTTAGAGCAAGACTACCACAGCAGTACGTGTTATCGAGTAGGTCTATTGAGACGTCAGTCGTCTGTGCCTCTACCAGTCGTCTGTGACTCTATACTCGTCCATTATTACCCACCGATTCGATTGATGCTAAAAATGTAAGGGTATCGGAGATGCTGAACGGCTTCAATCGAATCGGTGGGTAATAATGGACGAGTAACACAGTAATTTTACTTTAATATAAACGTATTGACAACTTAACCTAGGAATAAGGAGAGGTAATTAGAAGGAGTGCAGATAGCTGACGATAGAGTCACACAGACGACTGACGATACAGTCACACAGACGACTGACGATACAGTCACACAGACGACTGACGATACAGTCACACAGACGACTGACGATACAGTCACACAGACGACTGGTAGAGGCAAAGACGACTGGCGGCTCAATATAGGCCTATACTCGATAACACTGCTGTGGTAGTCTTGCTCTAAACTCCGGTCACTGGTTTTGTACAAGATAGTATACCAGGATACTATACCAGGATAGTAACCGGGTTGATTAGTTACAAAAAGACCAAAAGTTCTTCGGTTGAATTAACACAAACGCGTTTCCAATTGATGTATCAATTGGAAACGTTGATTGTATATATTGTAAAAAAATATCAATCATTGATGAGGGTTAGCAAAGTTTCTAATAACGCACACCGCAGGCCCCAAATATTAGCAAAAAGGATGTTATAAATGAGCCACAAGACAGGTTAATAATCGCCAATAGTTTTTTTACGACACATTAGGATAACCTCTAATACTATAGCTTCGCATTAAAAAAATCTTAGTTTAAAACAATTTCTCCCGAGGAGAGGTTGCACTGGTGAGATCTCTCCAACATTAGCTCGGTTTTTCATTCATTACCAAGACGACCCTTAAAAATAAGACCTGTTACTACCAGAAACACAAACCCTGTTAAAAACTTTCAAGTTATTTTGAAAGCGATCCTTAAATTAATGCCACATAAACCGACAACACAAAACTACCAGGATAAATAAATTGAAATTGTCATTAACAGTATTAAACCAAAGATTAAGGCAATATTAAGCACTGACATTAATCCAGTTCGTCAGTCGTCTGTGTGACTCTATCGTCAGTCGTCTGTGTGACTATCGTCAGTCGTCTGTGAGACTCTGTCGTCAGTCGCCTGTGACTCTGTCGTCAGTCGTCTGTGTGACTCTGTCGTCTGCAGTCGTCTTTTTGACTATATCGTCAGTCGTCTGTGTGACTGTCGTCAGTTGTCTGTGTGACTATCGTCAGTCGTCCGTGTGACTATCGTCAGTCGTCTGTGACTCAATCGTCGGCTATCTGCACTCTTTCTAATAACCTCGCCTTATTCCTAGGTTAAGTTGTCAATTCATTTATTTTCACGTAAAATAACTGTGTTACTCGTCCATTACTATCACCGTTTCGATTGATGCCAAAAATGTAAGGGATTCGGAGATGATGAACGGCATCAATCGAATCGGTGGGTAATAATGGACGAGCAACACAGTAAGTTTACTTGAATATGAATGAATTGACAACTTAACTTAGGAATAAGGAGAGGTAATTAAAAGGAGTGCAGATAGCCGACGATTGAGTCGCAGACGACTGACGATAGTCACACGGACGACTGACGATAGAGTCACACAGACGACAGGCGATAGAGTCACAGACGACTGACGACAGTCACACAGACGACTGGCGAGTGACGACAGAGTCACACAGACGACTGTCGATAGTCACAGACGACTGTCGATAGTCACAGACGACTGGTAGAGGCACATACGACTGGCGGCTCAATAGGCCTACTCGATAACACTGCTGTGGCCATCTTGCTCTAAACTCCGGTCACTGGTGTTGTACAAGATAGTATACCAGGATAGTAACCGGGTTGATTAGTTACAAAAATACCAAAAGTTCTTCGGTTGAAGTAACACAAACGCGTTTCCAATTGATCTCATTGATGAGGGTTAGCAAAATTTTTAATAACGCACACCGCAGGCCCCAAATATTAGCAAAAAGGATGTCATAAATGAGCCACAAGACAAGTTAATCACCAATATTTTTTTACGACACATTAGGATAATCCTAATACTATAGCTTCACATTCAAAGAAAATCTTAGTTTAAAACAATTCTCTGAGGAGAGGTTGCACTGGTAAGATCTCTCCAGCATAAGCTCAGTTTTTCATTCATTACCAAGACGACCCTTAAAAATGCGACCTGTTACTACCAGAAACACAAACCCTGTTAAAAACTTCCAAGTTATTTTGAAAGCGACCCTTAAATTAATGCCACATAAACCGACAACACAAAACTACCAGGATAAATAAATTGAAATTGTCATTAACAGTATTAAACCAAAGATTAAGGCAATATTAAGCACTGACATTAATCCAGAGAACGAATTTATGACCAACAACAGGACAGGTATAAATCGATTCAGCCAGCAACATTGAGACCAGAGTTAAATTAAATTAACGTCATTATTAAGCGCTGCAAATATACCAACAACGATAAGCCCATGATTGTAATTTCACCGCGATAAATTAAACTAGAAATAAGTCAAATTAACAACATTGAGTCCAGGATCACTACAATATTACCGGGTTGATAGAAGCCAGAATTGAGGTGATCTAATCAGCAACATGGAGCCCAGGATTACGACAATGTTACCGGGATAATTGAAGCCAGAATTGAGGTGATTTAACCAGCAACATGGAGCCCAGGAGAACTAAGACATATGACGAAGAACAGTAAAAGACAACCCACGACAGTGACATACAGTCAGGTGCTGCAAACGCTGTGGTGGGTCGTACGGAACGCCCCCTGGCAGAGCGAAGAACCCAAGAAATCGCGAGGGAGAAAGCCCCGTCAGCAGAGCTCTACCCACACCGCCTCTGGCCGACCCATGATAAAGCTTACCATGCTGCCCCTCACTCGACTGGCTCGCACAAAGCTAGAAAAAAACACCAATATTCAACAGAATTTCTTTAGACTAAATTTAAGAGTCAAGTTTGCAGTTTATTTACATCCACCAAGTACCCACGCTGTTGTAAATTACGGATAAACCACGGGTCAAAGTTGAGTCACAGATGAGCGTTTAACTGTCTTGTATGCGTTACCGTGTGGGCGAAACAGAACAAAACGGCCGACTAAAGACGATAATTAAGTTGCTTGACTACGGTTCCATAACGATACCAAGCCATTGGCGAACGCATTTGCACCGACATGTTTTATTCAAGATTCATAATTAACTATACACTACATAGAAAAGATCACTCATTAACTATATATAACTAACATTAACATTTCAGCTATACGAACGAAGCTTTGGGTTGATAACACTTACTGAGGCAGTCTCTCGAACTGCAAGGCGCCCACAGCCACCCAATGATATTACTAAGCAGGATTTTGGTTATTTTTAAACATATTTCAATATAACGCAAATATTTCTTCATAAATTGATGACTATTACCTATGCCCGACCATATTATATATAACTACTGCGAAAATTTTCTATACCATAGTCAAATTTCAACCCTTGCCTTGCAGAATAATTATGAAAATATATATGTGAAACGATAGAATAACTTGACAAATTATTACGGGTGATACTGAACATTTGCTTAACTTTAAACCACAGTTAATTTCTGGAACCGTTACGAATCTTGAAGTTCAATGGAATATTCCACAGATGACTATAGCCATTAATTTCACTACAACAAAATGTGGTAGCCATTAAAAGGCTTCAGGCGTTGAGGTTAACGAATTAGAACATTCATAATGATGGCTCATTACACGAGAGACAAATTCGAGTGCAATTAATTACTTTGGCAAAAAAGTCAAAATAGACACAACAAGCCGCAGTGAACGATTTTGCATCGTACATTAGAGGTGAATTTTTAATCAAGCTGAAGTTCGCGTAATGAGGCGCACGGCTCAATTAATGTCTGATGCCGCATTAAGCCTAATTACTGAACACCTTATGAATTTCAATCTCAGTCACTTCTGTGTCTGGAATTGGAATTAGGGACGTGAAGATTTCCTAAGCGAGTTGGTACTTGAAAAAGGTCAGTCACGCTGCTCATACACCCCGAAAAATTATTGAATCATACTGTCAGAATAGAGACACACTTTCTTACTCATAGCATGGGGCATGCGGTGAGCGGTTGTAGAGCTGATACGCCCTTAGCCAGGCCACGCTGTGCCAAGATGACTCATAAAAGGGCAAAAAGTGAATCGTTTCTTGGACAAAGTCTCGCTTATTTTTCTGAGCGTAGTGATGTATTGAAGTACAGAGATGACATCTCGCAGAAGAAAGAAGACGTCGGGGAAGTGCGGCGCAAGAGCAGCGAGAGCGAGCGGTTGGGCCAACAGGTGAGACTGAGCCTGATCGATATGGAGCCCTCTTAAAGGGTCGCTATTGAGAGAGCCCCCCTCTCTCGACTCAATTTCAGTTTTTTTTAACTATCAAGCAGGAAACTATAGCTCGTTTGACTTCAGTGAGGGACGCTTGACACACATGCACCACCTCCAACTCGCAACCCAAGATCGTCTGCGCGTTCAACTCTAAAATCATGACGGCAGCGCAGGTCAAATTTATATATTGCCTAGCAAAGTTCTGGCTTTTGCTCACATAACTATTGTAATAAGAACGTGTCGGCGAAAACGCTAGGGGCACTCGAGATATTTCACCCTTGACAGTAGTGATCCTGCAAAGCTGACAGATGACCTAATTTCTCAATAAATTTTACGTTCCAGAGGATATTTAACCAGAGAGCTTCGAGAGCATATTCTCAAAATCCATATCAAACTCTAAAGCAAAATTTGGACACGTGATATAAAAAAACGTTACGAGCACACTGTAGCCCTAAAAATATCGGCTCAAGTTACTTTTACAAGTGGTTAAAATATAATATATTTATGCCATTTTATTTATAATAGTTGTCATGCACCGTATTCCGAGAACATAACTACAGGGCCACAAATGTTCAAGCTATTCAATAGAAGTTGAAGGTCCAAAAGCAGTTCATGCTACCAACAAAATTTTGTTTTACTCAAAGAGGAACATATCACTTCATGGAATGCAATCAAAAGTTATTGAGTTCAGAACACTGCATGCGAACGCTGATTGAAGTCGACCGCAATAACACGAGGTCGAAGAGTGAAGAGATCGTATTCTTGGTGAAAAAGCTTGGTACTAGCCTAGAAAAACAAACATGTAGATAATATAGCTCTAATGGTAATGTATGAGATTAACAGATCTTCTAAAAACATGTTCCGAGATAAAAAAAAATGTCTTTCGATTCCGAAAAACCTAAATTACCATTTGTCCAAATTCTCAGACCGATCTTGATGACTGTGGACACCAAGCAGTGACTTGGGGCTTGAGGAATATTCTGATTGTAAACATAAGAGACAAATTACAAGGGTTAGTTCGTAACCGATTTCAATACTGCGGCAAAAATATAGCCAAGTAAAATACATTAATATGGTTTAATTCTAAACAGAAGAATATACTTTGTACACGCTCTTCTAAGTATTCTAAATTGAAGTGCAAATATTTTTGTTTGGTTTATAATTTTAAAAATATTCGAAATAACAATGCTGAAGTTGAAGCGTGAGCTAAAGTGGCGGCATGTAACCCGATAGCCAAGTGACGCGTAGTCTGGTTAACGACAAGAGCAATTAGCTTGTTAGCATCACAAGTTAATGGGTTGTGTTTGCAAAGTAAACAAGCCAATTTGTCACCACGAGAGTTTAGCGCAAACCTGTCAACCTGAGCAGACATCACTGGGTGTAGAGAGCACATATCACTGGGTATTAGACATATTTCGGTTGAAGATGTGTAACCCCGTGCATATTTTAGGCGTCACTCTGCATACTAAGCAGAGTAACAATTTCAATAATTGACTTCAAAATATTAGCAAGATTTAAATTACGTTAAATTTATGTATGAAGTTTTTACAATATCCTTAAAAAAGAAGCTTGTTTTCTGAACATTTCTGAACAATCGATAAAGACATAGTATGAACACGCATTTTTGCACAAATGAATTACGTGAGACTAGAGCACCAAGCGCCTGCGTATGAGTTTCCAGACCTCATTCGACTAGGTAATTTCATGCAGCCCATCACGACAGTATAATCTGAAGTTAGACTAATTCAAGGGCCTTCTATTCATTATTGCTCAGACGCCGCCAGACATTTCTGTCAAGACAATGGCCCGCCTGAAGCATCTGCAGTCGTCATCTCGAACCCAATAAGTGCCTGTCACTTCCTCCAGACTCCTACGAACCAACAATTCATGGGAGACCAAACCCTTAAAATGAAATGAGATCCTGAACAAATAACAGAAGCTGAGCCTGACAAAAGGCCATTGCAGATAGGAATGTTCCATCCGAGTTAATGTCGATCTAGTTCTATTATCAACAGGAATAAAGTAGTATCACTTGTTCATCTCGGATGAATACGGATATCTGAACATATGTAAGACGGAAAATGAAACGCAAAGTTACTCCCTTAACGCTCGTGTGGAAAAAATGTAGAGAAATTTTAGGTTGAATGGCAACTAGTACGACATTCGAAAGTTTGATTGGATAATCACTTCGCGCTATAAATGAGATGAATTGTTGTATATAATAGTTATACGGTAACAAATGAAGGAAAAAGCATAGAACACCGATCACTTTAATGTACAATAACTAGGATCGTGCACCCACACAACACTACGGACATTACTACAGCAATTGCAGTGATGAATGTTAGTTCCGAAGAGCACAATTTCGCAAATTGGAAACCCGGAAGAACGCTTCACAAGCACCGGTCTAACTTGCTGCTGACGAAGAACACCAGACGGCCCAACTTCTCGCTAATGTACGGCATGACGTACAGTAACGATGGCCTTCAAACTATCGTTAAAGTAAGATAGAAGCGCTCGAAATGAGGCAATCTCAAACAAAAATGCAACAGAAATTTTGTTATCAGGCGAATAGGAGTAATTAAGCTTCAAACCTGCACAGACAATGCACCAATGTTAACTTAAACAGGGTTATTGGCAAGTAAAAAGGTTGAAAAATTCACACGGTAAAATCTCAACCGAAAGTTAAACGAACTAACGATGGGTCTTGGCAACTGCAGAGGGCCCGAGCTACGGAGGATCGTAAGTCCTTAATAGCACGTATAAGTCTGTAGACAAACTTAGCGCCTGGGGATCGTTCCAAAACTTCTTCAAAAAATCATGAAGTTGGTCGACAAAAATCGAGCGAGTGCAAATGAAATTGGTTCCCCAAGAAAAACTGCAAACGTTTGATAATTTTACGTCCGAGCCGAAAGTTTAGATCTAATTTGAAAACATTAGAGAGTGTTTGACTCAGTTATTGACACGGGGTTCTTACAAATTAGATGTGTAATAAAGAAGTCAAGTTGTAGCAAAGGAGACTAATCAAGTACTAAATAATAGATGAAATTTACTATCACAGCCTCGTTTCCCATAACACGTATTTTAGCAAAAAATATTGTAGCGACGCAAAAGAGTTCGGGCAGAGGACATCCTGGAATGGAACTTTAACATATAGTAAGCTAAAAAATATACTCAGTCCTCATTGAAGTGAGTGACAGATAGCGCATTTTCTTGTCAACGAAAACGTGAAGTCACGGACGGACAGACGGATGGACGGACATGGCGAGCACAATAGCGCCTTTTTTCCATAAATGAGATAATGCGCTAAAAATAGAAAGGTAAACGTGAAATCTGTAACTTAAGGGGATTTCCCAAAGAGTGTTCCAACAATGTTCATTGCTACCACCAGCCAGTTAAGTAGTAAACACGTGATTGTATTGCATCTTACAAGATAAGCTCTTCTGACGCACTTTACAGTGGTTAGTGATGCGAGAGAATTGACGTACAAGGTGTTGACTTCCTATAGACATACGAAAACATGACTGCGTTGACACACGATGAGTTGCCTGCGTTGGCACACGACGAGTTGACTGCGTTGACATACGAAGAGTATGCAATGATGACCCAAGTATAGTTGACTGCGTCGGTATACGACTTAACTGAGTTGACGTTCAAAGAGTTGCCAGCGTTAACGTCCAAAGAGTTGCCACATTTGATGCACATCGAAGTTTCGTTATACTAAAGGCACTAGGATGCGTCCAGTAGTGGCCGTAGATCAGCAGGACGAGCGCCAATATCCGCTGTGCTAAGCCAGGAAACGACGCTCGTCGTTGCTCGCGAATAACACACGACCAAAACTGCCACCAGAAAAAAAAACTGCTGCCACAAAAACGCATGCCCATCTTCAGAGGAACGAGGAAGACGGACGGCATGAAACGGGGACACTCAAAGCCTCACGCAAGTCGTCCGTGCAATGTACGTTCAGAGAGAACAGTTGCAAAATAAACTCGATGCTAAGACGAAAAAATACGTTTTTTCATAGATGACTCAAGACGCGTTTTCCTAGGAAAATCAAATTGAATCAACGTGATGTTCACGTTTCAAAGGTATACATATATTTGTAAGCTGTGCAAAAAATAATAATGTTGAAATAAATAAATAAAAGAATATAAAATGATCAATGGAATCCCCAAAATAAGAAATAAAGGCATGCACCTCGTAAGTGTCGCAAGCCGATGTAAGGCAAACGGATATCCAAGAATTTCCAGGAAATGCGATGGTCGAGCAACGGCAATTGCATATATTTACTGCGAACAAGCATTGTTTAGCTTTTACGCCTTAATTAATAATAATGACGCCTTTTACTGACATTCACAATCCTGGGCCAACATTCTATAGCATGTGGGATCATGATCGTATTTTGAGAAATCAAGTTTCAAGGAAATTACTCAAAGGCCGTAACAAAATCGATCCACAGCATGCTTCGCCAAAGTAATCAAGCCAGTCTATGAAACTGCAACGGAAACCCCGCAATAGAAGGCAGACCAGCACTCCACACGCCTGATTCAGTTGAGGAAAGCAGAAGTAATGCTTCATATCAAGTTGCTCTCACCCACACCCCGAGTATTTACGATCGCCGCTCAAAGGCATCAATCATGCAATGCATGCGAGGCCAGGCTCTCTCCCTAATGAGACTTGAGCAGATATGTTGCTGGTGTCGTAGCGGCACTCGACCACTGTTGTCATATCATAGCATGCGCGATAACGAGCCGAGTTGAAGATCTTCAACTCGGCTGCTTTGGTATACGCACTTTGCAAGTATACGCACTGTGCAATGCATCGTATATTGTTCCGCGACATGTTACCAATTAAGAGTAAACTGCAATAAATGATATGAACATCTCGAGTTTTAAATGAACTGTTAATAGTGCGTTCAAATGATGATAGCTCCGAAGGCTGGCCCCTGGCTGGGAATGAACCATGTAAGACTGTCACTAATTGCACGGACTATTGGCTGGCGTAATCAAATCGTAGAGGAGATTCCGCGAAGGCCTGCGAGAGATGCTCAATGACGGAAGCTGTGATGGGAGAAATTATTCCTTGACATCAGAGAGCAAGCATGAAGTTGATGCAAACGTAAAGCCCTTATGCCACTGCTCCCCTGGAATGGTGAAATAAATATGGGTGAATAATGTTATGATTCCCAAGCATGATTAATGTCTAGTGATATTTTTGGCTAAATTGTTATCAAATCAGTAAGAAATAGACAAAACAAGTAAGTCCTGGATGACGGAGCATGAAATTGCTGGAAGATCACTGATTTTGCTTGGAAATTGACAACTGTAAATAAATTAAACATTATATTAGTTAATACGAATAGGTTGCGAGATAAGATAGCACATCAACTTCACCTGAATCAGGCCGGTAAACCGCAGCGAAAGATAATTGACACCAGTGTGATAATGGGTCGATCTCAAATCTCAATGATACGCCACGTCAAGTTCGCAAGATAACCACGGATATTTTATCATGGATATTTTTTTTCATGGTAATCTTCTTATCAGAAATTTACTCATTTCAAGTAAACACGAATAGATACAAGTCTCTATGTACTTAATGCAATAAGCGGCGATATAGCAACAACAGCAGTTTCAAGTTTAATGATCGGCCAAAATCGGAATGCTTCGGAAAAATTTATTCGACGTGATTGAGAAAATAATAGTAAATAGTTATTTCCAATTGGAAATTATTTCATATCTGAAGTTGAATGTTTCAATTGAATTGTTTAAATTGCCCTAGCCGCAACTGATTTATCGCAATGTCCGATCGTCTTAACAACATATCAGAGAAAATATCTGTAACTCGTCAAAGTTGTTCATATCCGAACTTTATAATGTGACACCAATACTAAAAAAAATATCATTCTCACTGCAGACTGATAAAATATCAGTCAGTGAGACATAAAATATCAGTCTCACTGCAACTGAAATCTTTCAAAAAGACAATTAGCCTTATGTTATGAAACTTCGGTTAAATCATAAAACCTAGTTAAGAAACATAGCCAAAGCAAAATGAAACACTCTTTTTCAGTCATCACTTTAAAAGCCAAAATTTTAGTGAAAAGATCCTTACAGCGTTATTCTCAACTCACACGAATATAAAAAGCTACAATAAATAACTTAACATACACTAAAATTTCTTCCTAAAGGAATACCCACATGTTTTTTCTCGCTGATATTCGAAGCTCAACTATATCAAAGATGCTATTACGTGCATCTGACAGAAGGAGCAAGTATGTAATAATAAGTAAGTATTATTACAAGTAATACAAGTGTAATAAACGCTGTATAAATGAAGCACGATCAAGATGCACATCAGTTTAAATTACACAGGAGCTGCAGTTATAACGGCGTAAGAATGAGAGTAGAATGTTTTATGAATTAATATCGAAATAATTTCTGCAATAAAATCCTTCATGAAAAATCTATTTTACACTCTAAAAAAGAACGATACATTCAAGCACGTCTTTTCTATGCATCAACACTTAAAGCAAGGTCGGATTATTCGCTTTTAGAATTCGTATCACAATCATATTTACAAGCGATATGAGGTCAGACAATACAAGATTTCGTAGCAAGGACCTTATGATAATTTGTGTCGAATTTAGCATCATATTTGATGCATTTTAAAAGAAATCCGCAGCTACTGGAAAGACCGGATTAGAAGGGTCTGGATTTTGTGGCTACGATCGTATAGCGGCAAGTAAGATAGGTTGGACGGGTTTGTATTTCGTGGCTACGAACGTAGTTGAAACGAATATCGTGTCGGACGAGCCGTATATATTTTGTGGCTATGATAGTTAAATAAGATCAGGGGGAGCAATAGCTGCGTAGAACTCGATGTACGTCGGCATCGGAGGCATGTTAATTATTCAACAGACCCATCCGCCGTGATTTCAATAGTGTAATGGGCGTCTAAGAAATTAGGCATGAAAACCTCAGTTTTTAATGATCGTCAGCCATTTTCTTCTTAATTAATAATTCACGAATTGAAACAACTTATCGACTGGTTCAGTCGTAAACGTGAAATGTGATAAAAATTTTAGGAATCCGATAACACGATAATTTTGAGGTATACAAAAAAAATACAAAAGACGTACAATTTTCAAGTGTGTCTTCTTACAATAGAAGCAGAGGCACAGGGAATTTGTTTACTTCTGGGGTGATGCATAGAAATTCACCAACTCATGATAATTCTTCGCCATTCTTGTAGATTCCCGAATGACAGAGAAAAAATTTTGACAAAAGCTGCAGCTACTTCAAGAACTTTCGGTGCCTTTCACATGCTCGAGAGTCTGGAAACACGAGTCAATGGAACTCGCTGTCTCGATGATACACAAAAATTTTATGTATTTAATGTAAAGGCCAGAGGTTGGTACAGGAAAATCGAGAGCAGTCCCTACAATGTTATATATAGAAAGACTTACCAAGAGACCTGGAATAGAAGAATGAAATTACTTCTGAAGAATGTAAGCTAAACTAATAAGTGATAAAGATACTTGAAAAATATGATTATGATTAAAATTAAAAATTAATAACAAAACAAAATAATGTAAAAAAAGAAAAGTAACAAGCAAACTCGTTTGATACTCACGTCAAAACACGAAGGAAGTTTATCGAAATATTTAAATAAAAATAGTCAATATATTGAGAAACAGTCTTCCAGCACGCGCATGAAAATAAAACATGAGCATAAAGAATTCATGCAAACAAATACGATACACAGGGTGGAAAAGAAAAGAAAACTTGTTCAATACTCACGTGCGAATTCGATAGGAGTTCCTTCATTATAAAATTGTCATAAATATCTCTGGCGCGCTTCCTTCTCTCCTCGGCGTTCTCTATTTTCTCGTAGTTTCGTATCTGGAACATAAACATCTTTTTAATCATACTGTAAATTAAGAGCGGATGAATCGGCATTAAAAACACGAAAGACGTTGATTTTACAAAAAAGATGTCTAGTTCAAGATTAAATAAAACTCAATCATATACATATCGCCATGGAACAAAGATCGGCCAAGCCGAACTTGCTTAAATGCAACAAACTCATATCATACTACTACACATAAATAGAATCTAGATAAATTAATAGAAATACCTAAATTTAGACAGCACCGATGTCAACAGATGCTATATGAGGTGAAACAGGAGAATCAATTCGAAACTATATAAATCCGGCTCGCGAAAGTCACGAAATTAGAATGTATGTTATTCCAAACCCAAGACATCCGTGACGAGAAAAGGAGGTTGATCCTGCAAGCCTGAGAAGCGGATCGGCACAGAACACAATTTTCTAGCGCAAGTGAAGCATGCAGTTTGTACGGTACGATTAACTAAAGAGGTCCGGGTTACAGTGCGCATTACTTGATTCCCCGGAAAAAATTCGTTCGTGTTACTTCTCGTTGAGCTGTAAGTACAGCTTTATCGGGAGAAGTTGCAATAAAAATACATATATAAATAATTTTAATAACTGTTAATAACAATGACGAAGTTAGATTATATTATATAGAAATAATAATCACATCTCAAGATGTTGAGGCTTAAATACAGAAACATGAAATATAGTTATCATTGTGGAGGATAAAACCTAAGAAATTACGTGGGATTTAATAAAAAACGAAACTGCACATGGATCCTGAAAAAATAAAGAGCTAGAAAAACCTAAATTTCAAATAGTTGGACAATGTTTTTCAAGTAGACAATATAGTTTTCAAGTTCATGATAATAACGTTTGTGCTTAGAAGAGCTTGTCATTTTTTGTTAAAGTTTTCACCTCCTGAGCTGTTGAAAGAAACTGCGAAGAACCAGCATGCTTTCTTTCTGGGCACCTGCCTGGTTAAGCTTTTGTGAATACGTGATCTGCAGCCGAGAATTCTAATACCAATATATACACGCGACACGAACAGTCGCAATGCTGCTCCGACAGCAACAAGAGTTGTAACAATGACAGCATTCTTGATACAATAGTAGTAACAACAGCAGTAGAAGTAACAAGAGTTGTAACAATGACAGCATTCTTGATACAATAGTAGTAACAACAGCAGTAGAAGTAACAAGAGTTGTAACAATGACAGCATTCTTGATACAATAATAGTAACAACAGCAGTAGAAGCAACTAGAGTTGCAACAATAGCGGTAACCTCAAGACAGCGACGGCAACAGCGGCATCGGCAGCAAGTAACTCCACGGGGACATATGTTGGTTCATAACACATCCTCTGCAGCTCAACACATAATCAGCTTTTGAAACAAATGAGTACAAAACAATAACAAAGTTTGGTTGTGATGTAAAGGAATACCTTGCCTATTAAAGGTACTGATTATAAAAATATGTTAAGTAACTACTAGCATAGGTAATTTGCTTGCGATCCATTTTTTTGCAACTCGGGCACGGATTAAAAAAAATATAACTCAGTACTCACTGCAGTGAGTGACAGAGAGCGCATTTTCTCGTCGACGAAAACTTGAGGTCACGGACGGACGGACAGACGGACATGGCGAACACAATAGTGCATTTTTCATAAATGAGAAAATGCGCTAAAAAAAGTCAACGCGTTAAATATGACGAAATAGTTGACCTGGTGTATCCAATTCACGGTTCTTGAATTATCATACGCTTGATGTTCACAGATGTGGGTCACGATATAGAACACTTGCGCACAAAGCGGTATGTGCATTACTTGAACATCAACCTTCACAAGTTTATCATCGACTTTGTCTGGTGAATTTAGTGACTTAAAAAGTTTTTAGGGCATAATTTGCCATGATTTTTCAAAGGAATCATTTTTCACATATTATTAAATAGGCAATATTGGTTAAAATTTATACCGTAGCAAATAAAAGGTTATACAATGTAGACAGTTGAAATTGGAATGAAATGACCCCGACACGAAATTGAATGATTTTCACGAAATCTTATAACGTTTCATTCTTGTTCTCCAAAATAAAAATCGCAGTTCGAATTTACTTGGCTAGAGATTGAAAACAAAATTGTATTAGTGTCGTTGTGCCTTATAGCATAATTAGTACAGTATTATGACACAATAAACTTACCAAAGTGCACATCGTGGCCTGGGACTGCTACGTTCGAAACAATTACCAAGTTACCAAGTCCGAGCATCACTGCCAGTACAGTGATGCCTATAAATCAGCATCGCTGCCAGTGATGCCTGGTCTGGTATTGGAACATCCATGCCATGTATGAATCGTTGTCAGTGCCACACATTAAAGTCTCAAAAATTGCCTTTGGATGGAAACGTACAGGTGTTGATTTAGACGCAGCTGTGGCTTTGATGCAACCCATTCGATTTTATGTAGGTTAAAGTTGAGGGTGATGAACAGGAATTATGCAGCTTGAGTGATGAAAATAGTAATGGCCTAAAGACCTATCCATTGATACAATTGAAATAGGCAGTGATATGATTTTTCAGGCTACGTTGCTCGATTACCTAAATTAAGAAAAATTATTCCATTTACCAGCTCACCAGTGAGGTTTGTGACAACGCACTTTGAATGAACGACAGATTAGAGTATATAATATTTTACGATAAATACACAATTCTTCCAGTTGAAATGACATTTAACTAATTACATTTTCATGCGAGATTTTCTGAGACTTTTCTGAAGTTGTAAATAATGCAATAATGATAATTAACAGAAAGATTAATGACATACTTAAAATTGATTTTATAATTAATACTAAAGAGAAAATTGAGGTTTCCAACAGATGGCGTTCCGCGTTAGACGACATCGTGTTTACGAATTACGGGAATAGAACATCTAACAGTAAAGGAAATGTTTGCCGGCAATGCAATTGATACCATACAATAATCTATTGACGGGAAGCCGACGGGATACAACAGAATAATGGGTATAAGGACAGCGGGATTTTACGTTGTGTGTAAAGCGAGGCAGCTCAGAGCCATCTGAAGGACAAGTGAAATTGCACGGCAGGAGGCCGGTATTTACGTTCACATTTTAATGGTCATATGGATAAGTATTCTGTAGGGCGGGAAGAAAGGCAGATCAGATGAAGGTCGTCAATGATTTTTTTTATATTTTATTGGAGATTTAAACATGAGTTCACTTGGAGGATCTTGATAAACGAGCTAAATGCTAGGCAGCTATATAGTATGCCTGTTGAAATTGATTAATATTGACATAAAATGATACAAAACTACGGTTTTCGGAGCTATGCTGCAAATGGGTGCAAAATTTCACCGTAGGTAGCACTTATATCAAGTTCTACGCCGGACTAACGAATTTTAGCAGGGTGAACAAACTGCACCATATGTGCAACCGTCCCGCAGCTACGGGTAATGTACAGCTGAAAGTTAGTGTATCATACAGTCACTGGTAAATGACCTTTTGCCATTTCGTCCACTGTTGATAACTTTTCTTGCTAGGGCCATTATATAAAAAATCTTTGCCGACGTTTACTGTGACGTTTATACGTAAGTTTACATTTTTCTTTCGTAAAACTTAAGTGTATAGCACTCTTGAGCAGTTGAAAAACATTGCGCAGAGCACGGCAAGCGATATCGGTTATGGTGCAACTCAGGTACTGATCGCAGTCCATATCTCGCGCCGCAAGCGTCAGTTTTCCTGGCTTTCTATCGCCCAGGACTCCCGTGGCCACATTCACGCATATCCGAGCTACGATAACTACGGTACTATAGAGGCTCGTGTGAGAGGAAAATCTGATATATAAGTGTTCTTTATTATCGGTATTGGACAAATACAAGGTTCCAGAAGATTTTGCGCCCATGCTTCAAGAAAATGTTATAATATCGACATATTGAGGATATTGATATAATTTAAGGATTTTGAATAGTTTGGGGAGCGTTGTTAATATAGAAAAATCGGCTATAGGAAGCGTGATAGTATTAGCGGTGATATTGTTTTCCAGCCCAGACGAACGTTTATCGTAATGACGAGATTAAACTTTACGCAATTCTTCAGCGGCAGATAAAAATATATTGTTACTTTTAGATATATAATATTACAAATATGAAGAGTATTAGCAATGAATTGGGAGTATTAATGAATACATAAAGAATGAAGTTGCATCTTCATTGAAAAGAATTAATTATTCGTGAATATTCCTGAAGGAACTTGAATACATAAATTACACGTACAACTGTCGTACATCATAAATATACATGATGCAAATACATGCACTTTAGGTAGGTATTTAAAAACAAACTTCTAAATAACATAAATTGTTTTCTGACGCGCCAGCACGACCTGCAATGCGGTGATCACTTACAATATTTACAGCAGCTCTGTTACATTTGTAGGCATAAAAATAAGTATAAAAAATGCATTCCAGTTAGGAGCAGAGTACTTGCAATGTTCACTTTCAAATGGCAGTATTGTGAATCATTTGTAAACACTAATAGAAACGCCAGCGCCGTATTTGCTTAAGGCGCTAAATACGGCGCTAAAAACGCCCACACCTACTACTAGTAATACTAGGAAATACTAGTAGAAACTCCCACACCAACTACTTGTAATACTGGTAGTAAGAAAATATTAGGAAAAACACCCACACGTACTACTAGTACTACTAGGAAATACTAGTAGAAACTCCCACACCAACTAGTACTAGTAATACTAGTAGTAGGAAAATATTAGGAAGACACCCACACATACAACTAGTACTACTAGGAAATACTAGTAGAAACTCCCATACCAACTACTAGCATTAATAGTAGGAGGAAATATTAAGAAAAACGCACACACGTACTACAGGCAACACTAATAGTACTAGCAATATTAGTACTAGGAAAATATTAGGAAAAACGCCCACACGTACTACTAGCAACACTAATAGTACTAGCAATACTATTAGTGGGAAATATT